GTTACTTTTGTACTCTGGCTCTGTTTGCATTTTGAGCATTGGTTTATATCTCAGCATAACATCTCCAGTCTCCTTTTGTATCTTGTTAACACTTTGTCTCTCTCCGTGTTTGTTACTTCCTGTTTTATTTTCGCCCTCTGTTGTCTCCTGTGCAATCTATAAGAGATAAGAGACAGAGAAGCTGATACAGACTCTGGCTACGTCTACACTAATTTCAAATGATAAATTTGAAAACGACATTCTCGTCTAAAAACGCTCCGCGTCCACACTGTCGTTTTCAGTCATTTCCTAACAGTTGTTCATCTACACTGAAACGACTCAAAGCGCTTGTTCCTGTATTGCGCATGCGTGAAACGAAAACGATTCGACCTGCTAATTTCTGCCTGCTGTTTATTTACTTACCGGCTCTTTGAAACGTTGCTGTAAAATGTTGAGGAAAAGCACCAAGTTTTTTAAATGGACTGACAATGAGGTGGAGTTCTTGCTGCAAGTAACACAAAAGTACAAAGTAGCAAAAGTGAGTGAGAATTAAAGAATTTTCTAAATGCTCCGGATTCGCAGTCCACACTGCGATTCGAAAACGATGTTTTCAAATGTATCCGCTTTGGAGAGCATTTTCAAAGAGCTCAGTTTTCCTTGACCAAAAATGCCGTCTCACTGTGGACGGAAGGCCAAAACGGAGAGAAAAAGATGCGTTCTCAAATGAAAACGTATTATGTGGACATGGCCTCTGGGTAGTAGGGAATTAGTTGCCAGATGACTTGGAAAGTACAGCTTAAGTGATGAGGGAAATTCCCAAGAAGGTGTTGTGTCCTCTGGACTGTGGAATTGGTGGTGGAATGAGGAAGTAAAGGAAAGTGTTCAAAACAAAACAAAGAGATCAGTGAAGAAAAAGAGGGGTAGTGAAGGACATGAAGAAAGTAGACTAGAGCAGCGGTCCCCAACCTTTTTTGCGCCACGGACCGGTTTATGCCCGACAATATTTTCATGGACCGGCCTTTAAGGTGTCGCGGATAAATACAACAAAATAAAACTAGTACCGGTACCGAAAAAAAGAAAATTTATTCATAACACACGTGAAAAGACCAAGGAAAACCGAGTAAACGATAAAAACGATAACAAAATAACGCTGAAAACCGATAAAAACCCTGAAAACTATACATTTCACACCTGAGCCTCAACTCTCGCGGCCCGGTACCAAACGACTCACGGACCGGTACCGGTCCAAGGCCCGGGGGTTGGGGACCGCTGGACTAGAGCACTGGGCGGCTTGGCGTACAGAAAAGAGAGAGGTAGCAAAGAGACAGCAAAGAGAAAAGACTTTTATTGACTTGTCTGAGAGAGAGGGTAGTTGCTGAGATAGTTTAGATATCTGCAGAGAAGATATAGAGTTGATGTATTTGACCAAAGATGTTGATTATGGAGCTTCCAGGTGCTGGACAACATAGATGATTCATGGATGTGGTGAAAGAGGAGATGCAGAGGGTTGGTGTGACAGAGGAGGGATAGGGTGAGATGGAGGTGATCCACTGTGGAGAGCATGCTAGGGAGCAGCCAGAAGAGGAAGAATGAAAACAGATAACCTATCTAACCAATTCAGGTTAAACTATTGCACTGATAAGATACCATATCTTGGTATTGTATCTTGATAGGATAAAATCTTGGTATCTTATCAAGATATGTTTGTTTTAGATTTGCTCTCACGTGATTTTTACTGTAAGATATGAGGAATAGGCTTTGATATAATCTGACCTCCTTTCTGTTTTATGCAGGTAGTGTCATACAACATTCAAGTCTTACAATTAGAGTCATTACAGAAGATGTCGTTAGGCCCCCGTTTTTTTAACAAATAAAAATGTAAAAAAAAATCTTTTGAATTTGAAGAAAAAACATACAAACTTGTCATATCTAAGATGGATTACATCTTACATCGCACTCAGAATAAGATCTCTGAGCGAAAATTGATTACATCTTGGAGAAGCTCACTGCAGTCGTTAGTTCTCAGAATCTGCTCTTTGAGCACAAGAAGGACAACATCACGGAGCGTAAGTTTGATAAGATCATGGAGAAGCTCACGGCTCTCCAACGGGAGATTGAGAGACCAGTGTCGGACTGTTAGAACAGCTTTGAAATTCACATGAGTTGTTCGCACTAAAGTAAAAACCACCATCACTTCATGCGGCTACCACTTCGGCGCCAGCTGTGATCTCAAGGCAGGAGCTGAACAAAAACACCCTGATAACAGACTGTGCTTAGACTGTTCTTCCTATCCTACGCAAGGCCACCATGGGTTGGCTGGAAGACTGTTTACTTAGCCTAGCAGGGCGGAGGACACTGTCTCAGCTGAACTCTGGACACACACACACACTGATACACACTCATCCCCCCTCCCTTTCCAAACTCCTTCGATGCTTGTCCCCTCCCGGGGAAGATGGCGGTCGACTGGACCAGCGCAGACATGCTGCAGGACCGGATGCGCTGTCTACACCGGCTCTCTCTTACCCTTTACCCACCCTGTTGCTTGTCTTGTGTTTCTATGGTGTACTGATAGTCATGTGCTTTTTGTGCTGAGGTGTTTTTTTCTGTTATCAAACTGTTCTCCCATTAGGAGCTCAGTCTGAGTGGAGTTTTTTTTTCTCCTCCTCTCACCTCATGTTATATATTTTCGTTGTTTTTTTCCTATCAGCCTACCTCTCTGACATGTCTTCCCAATGTGTTGTTTGTGTAAGTTTGGTCAGAAGGTTCCTTTGTAAGTGTGCATGCGCCATTAGCGTGCTGCCTGCTGTAACCCTAATTTCCTTTGGGATTAATAAAGTATTCTGATTCTGATTCTTAGATCAAAATATTACATAGACAAGACATCATGTTATCCAAAACTAAAGTGCACATGATAAGACCCAATGGGAAATAGTGATGTTATTTCATCTGGTCATGTTCTATAATATTTGCCTCAAAGGCATGAATTCATCTGTAAAGAAAAACTAACATTTTTTCTGCCTATAGTCTGTTTTAAGATTAAAAGAACAAAAGCCTAGTGTTTGAAGTTAGTGAAAGAAAAAACAAGTGGCTCAACAGCACGATCAATTCATTTCACTTTTGCTAACAATAAAAGCATTTAGACTGTCAAACACATGTATAAAAATTATAATACAACCAGCCCAAGTAGAATCTTTTTCTCAACTAAAAGCCTGTAAACAAAAAACACTAGTGATGACAATGCTGTCTTATGCAGCAGTAGCCTCTCCTCTCGGACACACACGGCAATCAGCTTGTTACTATAAATACAATGAAAACCTTCACAGCCTTTATAAAACCATCTGATCAACTAGCATAACTGAAGAATTTTTTCAACTACTCCCGTCTGTGTGACGCCAAACTGACTGACTGCTAAATGTAGATTTGATTTTAAATTTTCCTCAGTTACTTTTATAGTCTTCTGTAAGCTAAATTGAGTTCACTGACTGAAAAGGTGCTCTAGCCTGTGAGCTTCAGGTCAAGCAGTGTAAAACAGACTTTACAGGAAGGCGACACATAAAAACGCATTTATGCATTTTTAGAGTCACCAACTGAATACATGCAAATTCTGGCAGCAATGCAATGCATGCAGTTTGTGCTGATGTCACGGTGACATGCACAAAAAGCATTCCTTCAGCGGAGAATCTATGCACTGCTTGACAATTTTAAATTATAACTCAGGTCACATAAAAGGTGCTCAGTGTTAAGTTACTATGGCGATCTTACCAGGTACAAAGGAAGGCCACCTTTGTCACACTGAAATCTCGAGTTGAGGCTCAGCACAGCTCAGTAACCTGTTACATACATATATACATTATATATAATATTTATTTATATATATATGTAAATTATAATTTGAGTTTAAAAAAAAGCACTGGATTGGACTCTAGACCAGTCAATCAAAAAGTAAACTCAGAGACACGCCCCTGAAAACATTAGCCATTGCATGACCTTCAGCCACAGCATTCATCACATCACTTAACGTCCACCAGTGTGATAGCTTTATTTACAATAAAATAAATGAAATGTGAGGGTAAATAGCTTACTAAACACAAATCCAGTGTTTTGTTGGAGGCATCAAATGTAATAACAGGAGAGCGTAATTTTTACTTTGGTGCCTACAGAGTAGCATGAAAGACAGATATATCATCCTGGTCTAAACAGCATTATTTACCATTATTTAGCACTAATTAGGTGGTGCAGTTTGGTCGGTAACCTTTTGGAAAACTGTACAATTCTTGTAATTTTGTTTTTAACCTCCTAGGACCTGGCGTCCACATAAGTGGACATCACATTTTGGGATGTCTAGACCAAAATACCTAATTTTGCTCTACAAGGGACTGATATCCACTTACGAGGACATTATACTGCCACTGTTCTATCAAAATTTTAAACGAATGTCCTCATATGTTGATCTCATTTTTCTCAGAAACAAAAATTAGGTTATAAAAAAAAAAATCAGGTAATTCTTTGTTTTTATATTCATTAGGTCCCAATCAGCCCAAATGGCAAAGAAAAATTAAAAATGCATGCCGTGAAAGAGTTCAGGTCTTAGGAGGTTAAATAATAAAGTCGAGATGTTATTGAAGGGCTGACCTTCAGCTTTAATTCAAAGGGTTTAACAAAACTATTAACTGCTTAGGAAGCCATTTTATACATAGTTCTGTATTTCAGAGGTTCAAAATTAACTAGATAAAATAACATAATTTTACATTTGAATACTTGGATGAGGATTCTTTGCTCTCAATAACTGCCTGAAGTTTAGAATCCATGAACATCACCAATCCCCCTCTGCGATTCGCTACCTTATCGTGGTGGAGGGTTTTGTGTGTTCCAGGGATCCCAGGGGCTGTGTTGTCTGAGGGCTTCTGCCCCCTGGTAGGGTCTCCCATGGCAAATTGGTCCTGGGTGAGGGACCAGACAAAGAGCGGTTCAGAAGACCATTATGAGAAGAGAACAGTTCACCCTGCCTGGGATAGGGTTACCAGGGCCCTTCCCTGGAGCCAGGCTCAGGGAGGGTGCCCGAGGGCGAGCGTATGGTGGCCAGGCCTTAGTCCATTGAGCCCAGCCGGACATAGGCCCATCGTCCTGCAGGCCCACCACCCGGTATCGCAGGGGTCGGGTGCATCGTGTGTCGGGCAGCAGCCAGGAGCGGAGGCCCTGGCAGACCGATCCCCGGCTACCAAGACAGCAACTGGGACGTGTGAACATCACCAAATGCTGTGGTTCCTCCTCTGAGATGCTTTAACAGGCTTTTATTGAGCCCATGTTCAGTTGTTACTTGTTTGTGGGTCTTTCTGCCTTCAGTAACTGTAAACTATGGTCTACTAGGGTTCAGATCAGTGACTGATGTGTCTATTGAAGAATATCCCATTTCGTTGCCTTGAGAAATTCTTGCAGGATTTTGTTTAATCTGAGCAGAAAGTACAGTCGTGTACTCATCACCAGGAGTCACATCATCAGTAAACACAAAGTTAACTTGTTTCTATTCTTAACCATACATGCCAAGGCCATGACATTACCTGGTGATGTGGTATACTCTGGATCATACTCCTTCTTTATTTGACCACTCGTGAACTCTTCATTATCTTGCTCATAGGTATATATGTCTTTAAGTCAAATGATGGCCTGACTAAGCTGTTAATGCTGTACTTTTGTAAAAACCTCTTGAATTCAAGCTGGAATCTGCACTTCGCTCATATCTAGAAAATTCAGTGTTGCAGTGTACAGAGGAAAGATCACAGAAACAGTCATTGTCCAAAAGCTTACAGACCTGATTTTCATCATGTAATACAAATGACAACCTCATGGTGACGCCAGAGGAAACGTCATCTGTTAACCAAAGTCATTCAAATCCTCCTTCTTTGACTGTTGATACCCATCCCAAATTTAATGGCAGTTTATCAAAATATGGAAAGTCAGTAAACCAACCCAGAGAGGAATCCAGTGTTTCTTTGAAAAAGATTATATCAGTTCCAGTAATAAAGAAAATGTTTTGTGAATATAATAATAAGGTTGGATATAATGTACTTAGCATATAACATATGAAATAACATATTAAATTCTACAATGTAACATCAGTTTGATTAAATTATATAGAATGAATTTGAAAAAAGGATTTAATTACATCATAGAAAGTCTTTCTGATATTACAGGATGTTACAAGCTCACCGAGCTGATTTATCCCGCAAAACAAAAAGAAGAAATGGTGGCATTTATTACTTCTAGGCTGGACTACTGTAATTCATTATCAGGATTTCCTAAAAATTCCCTGAAAACCCTTCAGCTGATCAAAAATACTGCAGCAAGAGTACTGACACAGACTAGAAAGCGAGCAGATTTCTCCAATATTTGTTTCTCTTCACTGGCTTCCTGTTAAATCCAGAATCAGATTTAAAATCCTCTTCCTTACACACAAGGTCTAGAATAATCGGGCCCCATCTTATCATAATGATTTTATAGTACTGAATCACCCCATTAAAGCACTTCACTCTCAGACTACAGGCTTTATTGTGGTTCCTAGAGTATTTAAAAGTAGAATGGCAGGCAGAGCTTCTTCTTCTGTGGAACAAACTTCCAGTTCGGACTCGAGAGAAAGAAACTGGTGGAGGTTTCTTCCTGTTAAAAGTGTGTTTTTCCTTCCCACTGTCACCAAAGCACTTGGCCATAGAGGTCATATGTTTGTTGGTGTTTTCTCTGCTTTCTTTGTATTATTGTAGGGTCTATACCTTACAACATAAAGCACCTTGAGGAAACAGTTGTTCTGATTCGGCACTTTATAAATAAAATTGCATTGAATTGAATTAATACCTTCTCTGCAATTTTCATACGGTGCAATGAAATGTAAAGGGTATGATTAGAGTGTGTGAACTGTGATACTTGGTGGCTTTGCAGTTTATCACCCAGTTGGTTTCACATTCTAGCATCAAGGTATAGTTTTTACAAATAGGATGCATACCTTATTTGGACAGTTTGCAGTTATACAATGAAAAAAAGCCCAAATGGAACATAATATCAAAAAAATATGTGTAAAATATTTGTGAATATTATATTTAAATCATCTCTCTTCTGAAAACAGAGTTCTGGCAGTTAATTTCACACTACAGAATGTTATTGGATGTTCCAGATCACTCAGCTGGCTTGTCCACTAAAAAAAAAGAAGAAGAAGAAAAAGTTGATATGGCAGTTATTAGTTTAATATAAATCACTATGTCAAGACATGAGCTCTGAATCCAGGTTTTAATTCATACTCACAAGTGATCGGTCCAATGGTGACGGGATTCATAAAAGCTGAGTTGGAAACAGAGCGATGTGCCCTACTTGTGCACGACTGCAAAGGGCAAAAGAATGAGAAAAGAGATATAGGATTTAAACCAGAGAAACCATTTTGGATTATGGAGTACTGCTAAAATGAAATGTGGAACTCACTGGTACACAGTTGTACTTCCTCTGGTTACACAGGCTGAGGCTGCAGTGAAGATATATGTCTCTGTATTCACCCTGGAGCAGGAAGAGCAGAGCAGAGAAACGAGCTCGGAGGGACGAGCCGCTCTCAACTATTGACACCTTTAGGCGGTCAGTGGGACACCTGTGAGACAGGAGGGAGGAGATCAGCAGGGTCCACACACTTCACTGTATCTCACAAAGCATTGGTGAGGTTGGAGAGATGCACATACTTGTTCTGGATGAGAGGATATTGTGTGGGATCATCAGGGTTTGGTGAGTGAGTGGTGTAGCAGTCCTCCAGAACAGCTGCCAAAACTGGGTCTGTGTCCTCCACAGAGATGCCCACGTACAGAGGTGAACCCACTGGGAGGAAGACTTGGCCTGGTGGATAAGACTCAGTGTAGTTGGAGTTGCGGAACAGAGACATGGAGGCTCGAGCTTTTGGACCCGAACCTGAAATTCCTCCAGTGAACCTGACAAAGGGAAAGAAAATTATATAATGCAATGATCTCTCAGACACTACTTGCTGCTATTCTGTCTTTTTCCTGGTTTGTGTAAGAAGACAGCTTTGGATTTGTTTTCTTCAAAAGTCTGATGGTTCGAGCCCCAGCTCCTCCAGACCATATGCTGGAAATGTCTTTGGAGATGGTGCTAAACATGCATCCATTGGTATGTGAGCATGTGCAGATAAAAAGTGCTTCAAGTGCATAATCAAGTAGTTGAACAAGTGAAATAGCACTGCCTAAATAACAGATTATATAGCTGATTTAAATTTTACACTAGAGTTTTAATCCAGTAAACATGTTTTGTTATGTTAATTGACAAATCTCCCTTCTCTGACTGGAAAGAAGACTTTGTTTATTTTATTTTATAAACTTTATTTTATAAAGTCCAAGATATATATGTATTTTGAGCAAAAAGCAACAAAGTCTCTTGAGGGAATTGTGCGACTAAAAAGACATTTGCACTGGTAAAACGCTGCCTCCTGGTGGTAAATGTTTGTTAAATTCTGCATTGAATAATTACAAAACATATCTTTAAACTACAACTAGGCAGCAAACTGTTAACTGGATTGAGTAAACAACTTAATGTGGAGCTTTCTAAACAAACTGTAACGCTGTTTGGAAAGTAGCCTCACAGCTAAAAGCACTTAAGTTTATGCATGAAGGATCTGAAAATGACTTTCAGTGGTCATGTTAAATTACAAACAGCTCACAGTAATGCATGCTTACTCTCTCATAAATGGTTAAAAGAAACACACACAGTAAACAAGATTCATCTTAATTATTGCAGTTTGGTAACAGAATAATTGAAAAGAGTGGGGTAATAACTATACTATTACACACATGAGAGCCCTGAATTTTAGAGCTACATATACTAAGTGATGCTGCAGTTAAATTCAATGAACTTACAGGTCTGGCCTGATAGCTACATTCAGGCTGGCGTCTGTGTCCAGGGGATAAGCACAGGAGAAGGGAAGACCCACAGGAAGAGCGAAGGACAAATTAGTCAGAGGGTAGATGAATAAACTGTTGAAGTAGATGACATGTGTGCTGTTGGTCTGAAAGACAGATGATGACATTTTCAGTCAGTTAAGAAATCATGTCACCTAGAGAAAGTCTAATCACCAGAGACATGTCCACAGGGGTTAATACAGTGAATCCTTCTGAAGTCTCTGACTGCTGTTGCTCACTTTTTTCTCCTTGAATAACAAAAAGGCCATTTTATGCCAAAACACAGTCTACAGCCATCTTATCACAAATTAATTGCGCAGTAGTGTTTTTTAATGGGACAGTTAAACAATAGGAAAAAGAAATAAGTCTTTACCCTCAGCACATTTCCACAGGCACCTGCCCGAGCCTCCATTTCATACCAAACATAATCATCACGGACTCTGACCCAGGAACAGTTGCTGGAAGCCAGGTTGCCCGAGAAGGGGTTCAAACCGGAGGATGACATGCTGCCCATATGCAGACCAACTTGGACTTTATCACGGCCACAAATTAACTGTGAAGTCTGGAGTGGAGGCTGCTGGACTAAAGAAAAAGACATGAGGTCACTAATAAAAAATGAAAGCAGATGAAATAGGAAATACAAAATGAGGCCAGCATGAGTACTTCAATGTCATAATATAAGATAAGATAAAAGATTTCATTATTTCAATTTTTCAGTATGTGAGAACTTTAACTTACATTCACATACGACGCTGGCATCTTCATGGTGACCACAGTTGTGGACTCCAAGCCCGTTGTGTCTGCAGTCAGTTATTGATGATTCATTTCCAAAACAGTATACATCGTCCAACCAGATGGGTCCGCTGCCCTGTCCAAAAGCTGCACTTTGTAGCGCTGAACGAGCGCTTCCACAGCCCAGCTGTCTGCACACCACTTTAGCATCATTCAGGTCCCAAGAATCATCACACACTGTGCCCCACTGTCCATCATTGAAGATCTCCACTCTGCCAGAGCAGCGGTTCTGACCGTTGACCAGCCTCACTGACGAAAGAGCTAATAGAAAACCAAAAGAAGGAACACGGTCGAATTTTACTGGAATATTTTTCAATAGTAGTATCTGTACTTCTACTTAAGTACAGATTTTCTGTACTCTTGCTACCTCTGGTGGTGCTGTAAAAGATGACACCACTACAACATGTCAGTTCATGAAATCTCTTGCTTCTTAGATATTCCAGGATCACCTGTAAGTGGTATTATTGCAAAGTGGAAACTCTTAGGAACCACAGCAGCTCAGTCACAAAGAATCATTCTATGTAAAGTTACAGAGCAGTGTCTCTGTGAGGCACATAGTATGTTAAAATGTCCAACACTCAGCTGACTCAATAACTGCAGTGCTCCATACCTCCTCTGGCATTAACAGCTGTTCAAAAACTGTGCAACAGGAGCTTCTTGGCATGGGCTTCTGCTCTGTCTCAAAGCCAGACAGTTACAAAGTTTGATTCCACTCTTCATAGCTCCACATGTTCATATTTACCTTCACAGACGACACCAGCATCCTCAGAGTGGGCACAGTTATGAGATCCAAACCCTCTGTGTTGACACTCAGAGAGCTTTGATTCATTGCCCGTGCATGTGACTTCATCCAACCAGATGGGTCCGTTGCCCTGTCCAAATTGTGCATTTGTTGGTGCTGATAGGACCGTACCACAGCCCAGCTGTCTACACACCACCTGAGCATCCACCAGGCCCCAGGCGTCGTCACACACCGTCCCCCACTGTCCACTGTGAAAGATCTCCACCCTCCCAGAGCAGGAGCTGTTTCCATTAACCAGGCGGACCTCCCCCTCGACTGCTGTGCTGTTGCCCACTGGTGTTGTGGTAGAGATGTTAGCGGTCACATGTGTGGTGGTGAAGTTCTGTGGCCTTGGTGTTGTTGGAAAAACAGTGCTGTTGATTCCTGGTTGGACTGAAAGAAAAGTGTCTTTGAACTCAAAGGACAAACTCAGTTTGCACTTCCTTCTACATTAATGAGGATAAGCTCTCATTAGAACATCTCAACATAATTGTTTTCTCACCAAATCCTTATTTACTTTGCATTTGACTCCATGTGCTGCACAACAACTTTATATTTAAATGGTGATTTAGAAACAACAAATGAGAATAGTTTTTCTCATCAGTTAGATGTCAGCAGTAAGACATGGAGGGTACCTGAAAAATGCATAAAATTTACCTTCACAGATGATGCTGGCATCTTCATTATGACGACAGTTGTGGACTCCAAGCCCGTTGTGTCTGCAGTCAGTTATTGATGGTTCATTTCCAAAACATGCTACATTGTCCAGCCAGATGGGTCCGCTGCCCTGTCCAAAAGCTGCACTTTGTAGTGCTGAACGAGCGCTTCCACAGCCCAGCTGTCTGCACACCACTTTAGCATCATTCAGGTCCCAAGAATCATCACACACTGTGCCCCACTGTCCATCATTGAAGATCTCCACTCTGCCAGAGCAGCGGTTCTCACCATTGACCAGCCTCACTGTTGAAGCAGCTAATAGAAAACCAAAAGAAGGAACACTGTCTATGGGAGTACTTCAGAGGAAATGTAGACTTATTAGAATAATATAACAATATAATAATATATATATAATATATAATAATATAACATAATCATCTTTCTACCATTTATTTTACTTCAGCTGACAACACGTTATTTTAAACTTATTTTTAATTTGTTGGTAATTTGATAGTTCTTGGGGGCAGGTTCTGGATTCATGGAAATATCTTCATAGTAAGTTTATCTTTATTGAAAAATTTCTCATAATTCAAGACTAAAAGAAAAAATTGTTGTGTGGATAAAAACCTGTAGTAGTATGTAACTATAAATCATCTTAGTTCAGTGTTATCCCAAATGCACACACGAACAAAGTTGGATTTCACTCTCTTTAACCCCACATGTTCATATTTACCTTCACAGACGACACCAGCATCCTCAGAGTGACCACAGTCATGAGATCCAAACCCTCTGTGTTGACACTCAGAGAGCTTTGATTCGTTGCCTGTGCATGTGACTTCATCCAACCAGATGGGTCCGTTGCCCTGTCCAAATCGCGCGTTTGTTGGTGCTGAGAAGACCCTGCCACAGCCCAGCTGTCTACACACCACCTGAGCATCCACCAGGCCCCAGGCATCGTCACACACCGTCCCCCACTGTCCACTGTGGAAGACCTCCACCCTGCCAGAGCAGGAGCTGTTTCCATTAACCAGGCGGACCTCCCCCTCAACTGCTGTGCTGTTGCCCACTGGTGTTGTGGTAGAGATGTTAGCGGTCACATGTGTGGTGGTGAAGTTCTGTGGCCTTGGTGTTGTTGGAAAAACAGTGCTGTTGATTCCTGGTTGGACTGAAAGAAAAGTGTCTTTGAACTAAAAGGACAAACTCAGTTTGCACTTCCATCTAAATTAATGAGGATAAGCTCTCATTAGTACATCTCAAAATTATTGTTTTCTCACAAACTCCTTGTTTACTTTGCATTTGACTCCATGTGCTGCACAACAAGGTTATATTTAAATGGTAAATTAAAGCAACAAATGAGAATAGTTTTCTCATCAGTTAGGTGTCAGCAGTAAGAAATGGAGGGTACCTGAAAAATGCATAAAATTTACCTTCACAGATGATGCTGGCATCTTCGTTATGACGACAGTTGTGGACTCCAAGCCCGTTGTGTCTGCAGTCAGTTATTGATGGTTCATTTCCAAAACAGTATACATCGTCCAACCAGATGGGTCCGCTGCCCTGTCCAAAAGCTGCATTTTGTAGTGCTGAACGAGCGCTTCCACAGCCCAGCTGTCTGCACACCACTTTGGCATCATTCAGGTCCCAAGAATCATCACACACTGTGCCCCACTGTCCATCATTGAAGATCTCCACTCTGCCAGAGCAGTGGTTCTCACCATTGACCAGCCTCACTGTTGAAGCAGCTAATAGAAAACCAAAAGAAGGAACACTGTCTATGGGAGTACTTCAGAGGAAATGTAGACTTATTAGAATAATATAACAATATAATAATATATATAATATATAATAATATAACATAATCATCTTTCTACTATTTATTTAACTTCAGCTGACAACATGTTATTTTAAACTTATTTTTAATTTGTTGGTAATTTGATAGTTCTTGGGGGCAGGTTCTGGATTCATGGAAATATCTTCATAGTAAGTTTATCTTTATTGAAAAATTTCTCATAATTCAAGACTAAAAGAAAAAATTGTTGTGTGGATAAAAACCTGTAGTAGTATGTAACTATAAATCATCTTAGTTCAGTGTTATCCCAAATGCACACACGAACAAAGTTGGATTTCACTCTCTTTAACCCCACATGTTCATATTTACCTTCACAGACGACACCAGCATCCTCAGAGTGGGCACAGTTATGAGATCCAAACCCTCTGTGTTGACACTCAGAGAGCTTTGATTCGTTGCCTGTGCATGTGACTTCATCCAACCAGATGGGTCCGTTGCCCTGTCCAAATCGCGCGTTTGTTGGTGCTGAGAAGACCCTGCCACAGCCCAGCTGTCTACACACCACCTGAGCATCCACCAGGCCCCAGGCATCGTCACACACCGTCCCCCACTGTCCACTGTGGAAGATCTCCACCCTGCCAGAGCAGGAGCTGTTTCCATTAACCAGGCGGACCTCCCCCTCAACTGCTGTGCTGTTGCCCACTGGTGTTGTGGTAGAGATGTTAGCGGTCACATGTGTGGTGGTGAAGTTCTGTGGCCTTGGTGTTGTTGGAAAAACAGTGCTGTTGATTCCTGGTTGGACTGAAAGAAAAGTGTCTTTGAACTAAAAGGACAAACTCAGTTTGCACTTCCATCTAAATTAATGAGGATAAGCTCTCATTAGTACATCTCAAAATTATTGTTTTCTCACAAACTCCTTGTTTACTTTGCATTTGACTCCATGTGCTGCACAACAAGGTTATATTTAAATGGTAAATTAAAGCAACAAATGAGAATAGTTTTCTCATCAGTTAGGTGTCAGCAGTAAGAAATGGAGGGTACCTGAAAAATGCATAAAATTTACCTTCACAGATGATGCTGGCATCTTCGTTATGACCACAGTTGTGGACTCCAAGCCCGTTGTGTCTGCAGTCAGTTATTGATGGTTCATTTCCAAAACAGTATACATCGTCCAACCAGATGGGTCCGCTGCCCTGTCCAAAAGCTGCATTTTGTAGTGCTGAACGAGCGCTTCCACAGCCCAGCTGTCTGCACACCACTTTGGCATCATTCAGGTCCCAAGAATCATCACACACTGTGCCCCACTGTCCATCATTGAAGACCTCCACTCTGCCAGAGCAGCGGTTCTCACCATTGACCAGCCTCACTGACGAAGCAGCTAATAGAAAACCAAAAGAAGGAACACTGTCTATGGGAGTACTTCAGAGGAAATGTAGATTTATTAGAATAATATAACAATATAATAATATATATAATATATAATAATATAACATAATCATCTTTCTACCATTTATTTTACTTCAGCTGACAACACGTTATTTTAAACTTATTTTTAATTTGTTGGTAATTTGATAGTTCTTGGGGGCAGGTTCTGGATTCATGGAAATATCTTCATAGTAAGTTTATCTTTATTGAAAAATTTCTCATAATTCAAGACTAAAAGAAAAAATTGTTGTGTGGATAAAAACCTGTAGTAGTATGTAACTATAAATCATCTTAGTTCAGTGTTATCCCAAATGCACACACGAACAAAGTTGGATTTCACTCTCTTTAACCCCACATGTTCATATTTACCTTCACAGACGACACCAGCATCCTCAGAGTGGGCACAGTTATGAGATCCAAACCCTCTGTGTTGACACTCAGAGAGCTTTGATTCGTTGCCTGTGCATGTGACTTCATCCAACCAGATGGGTCCGTTGCCCTGTCCAAATCGCGCGTTTGTTGGTGCTGAGAAGACCCTGCCACAGCCCAGCTGTCTACACACCACCTGAGCATCCACCAGGCCCCAGGCATCGTCACACACCGTCCCCCACTGTCCACTGTGAAAGATCTCAACCCTGCCAGAGCAGGAGCTGTTTCCATTAACCAGGCGGACCTCCCCCTCAACTGCTGTGCTGTTGCCCACTGGTGTTGTGGTAGAGATGTTAGCGGTCACATGTGTGGTGGTGAAGTTCTGTGGCCTTGGTGTTGTTGGAAAAACAGTGCTGTTGATTCCTGGTTGGACTGAAAGAAAAGTGTCTTTGAACTAAAAGGACAAACTCAGTTTGCACTTCCATCTAAATTAATGAGGATAAGCTCTCATTAGTACATCTCAAAATTATTGTTTTCTCACAAACTCCTTGTTTACTTTGCATTTGACTCCATGTGCTGCACAACAAGGTTATATTTAAATGGTAAATTAAAGCAACAAATGAGAATAGTTTTCTCATCAGTTAGATGTCAGCAGTAAGAAATGGAGGGTACCTGAAAAATGCATAAAATTTACCTTCACAGATGATGCTGGCATCTTCGTTATGACCACAGTTGTGGACTCCAAGCCCGTTGTGTCTGCAGTCAGTTATTGATGGTTCATTTCCAAAACAGTATACATCGTCCAACCAGATGGGTCCGCTGCCCTGTCCAAAAGCTGCATTTTGTAGTGCTGAACGAGCGCTTCCACAGCCCAGCTGTCTGCACACCACTTTGGCATCATTCAGGTCCCAAGAATCATCACACACTGTGCCCCACTGTCCATCATTGAAGACCTCCACTCTGCCAGAGCAGCGGTTCTCACCATTGACCAGCCTCACTGACGAAGCAGCTAATAGAAAACCAAAAGAAGGAACACTGTCTATGGGAGTACTTCAGAGGAAATGTAGATTTATTAGAATAATATAACAATATAATAATATATATAATATATAATAATATAACATAATCATCTTTCTACCATTTATTTTACTTCAGCTGACAACACGTTATTTTAAACTTATTTTTAATTTGTTGGTAATTTGATAGTTCTTGGGGGCAGGTTCTGGATTCATGGAAATATCTTCATAGTAAGTTTATCTTTATTGAAAAATTTCTCATAATTCAAGACTAAAAGAAAAAATTGTTGTGTGGATAAAAACCTGTAGTAGTATGTAACTATAAATCATCTTAGTTCAGTGTTATCCCAAATGCACACACGAACAAAGTTGGATTTCACTCTCTTTAACCCCACATGTTCATATTTACCTTCACAGACGACACCAGCATCCTCAGAGTGGGCACAGTTATGAGATCCAAACCCTCTGTGTTGACACTCAGAGAGCTTTGATTCGTTGCCTGTGCATGTGACTTCATCCAACCAGATGGGTCCGTTGCCCTGTCCAAATCGCGCGTTTGTTGGTGCTGAGAAGACCCTGCCACAGCCCAGCTGTCTACACACCACCTGAGCATCCACCAGGCCCCAGGCGTCGTCACACACCGTCCCCCACTGTCCACTGTGAAAGATCTCCACCCTCCCAGAGCAGGAGCTGTTTCCATTAACCAGGCGGACCTCCCCCTCGACTGCTGTGCTGTTGCCCACTGGTGTTGTGGTAGAGATGTTAGCGGTCACATGTGTGGTGGTGAAGTTCTGTGGCCTTGGTGTTGTTGGAAAAACAGTGCTGTTGATTCCTGGTTGGACTGAAAGAAAAGTGTCTTTGAACTCAAAGGACAAACTCAGTTTGCACTTCCTTCTACATTAATGAGGATAAGCTCTCATTAGAACATCTCAACATAATTGTTTTCTCACCAAATCCTTATTTACTTTGCATTTGACTCCATGTGCTGCACAACAACTTTATATTTAAATGGTGATTTAGAAACAACAAATGAGAATAGTTTTTCTCATCAGTTAGATGTCAGCAGTAAGACATGGAGGGTACCTGAAAAATGCATAAAATTTACCTTCACAGATGATGCTGGCATCTTCATTATGACGACAGTCGTGGACTCCAAGCCCGTTGTGTCTGCAGTCAGTTATTGATGGTTCATTTCCAAAACAGTATACATCGTCCAACCAGATGGGTCCGCTGCCCTGTCCAAAAGCTGCACTTTGTAGCGCTGAACGAGCGCTTCCACAGCCCAGCTGTCTGCACACCACATTAGCATCATTCAGGTCCCAAGAATCATCACACACTGTGCCCCACTGTCCATCATTGAAGATCTCCACTCTGCCAGAGCAGCGGTTCTGACCATTGACCAGCCTCACTGACGAAGCAGCTAATAGAAAACCAAAAGAAGGAACACTGTCTATGGGAGTACTTCAGAGGAAATGTAGACTTATTAGAATAATGTAACAATATAATAATATATATATAATATATAATAATATAACATAATCATCTTTCTACTATTTATTTAACTTCAGCTGACAACACGTTATTTTAAACTTATTTTTAATTTGTTGGTAATTTGATAGTTCTTGGGGGCAGGTTCTGGATTCATGGAAATATCTTCATAGTAAGTTTATCTTTATTGAAAAATTTCTCATAATTCAAGACTAAAAGAAAAAATTGTTGTGTGGATAAAAACCTGTAGTAGTATGTAACTATAAATCATCTTAGTTCAGTGTTATCCCAAATGCACACACGAACAAAGTTGGATTTCGCTCTCTTTAACCCCACATGTTCATATTTACCTTCACAGACGACACCAGCATCCTCATAGTGACCACAGTCATGAGATCCAAACCCTCTGTGTTGACACTCAGAGAGCTTTGATTCGTTGCCTGTGCATGTGACTTCATCCAACCAGATGGGTCCGTTGCCCTGTCCAAATCGCGCGTTTGTTGGTGCTGAGAAGACCCTGCCACAGCCCAGCTGTCTACACACCACCTGAGCATCCACCAGGCCCCAGGCATCGTCACACACCGTCCCCCACTGTCCACTGTGGAAGACCTCCACCCTGCCAGAGCAGGAGCTGTTTCCATTAACCAGGCGGACCTCCCCCTCAACTGCTGTGCTGTTGCCCACTGGTGTTGTGGTAGAGATGTTAGCGGTCACATGTGTGGTGGTGAAGTTCTGTGGCCTTGGTGTTGTTGGAAAAACAGTGCTGTTGATTCCTGGTTGGACTGAAAGAAAAGTGTCTTTGAACTAAAAGGACAAACTCAGTTTGCACTTCCATCTAAATTAATGAGGATAAGCTCTCATTAGTACATCTCAAAATTATTGTTTTCTCACAAACTCCTTGTTTACTTTGCATTTGACTCCATGTGCTGCACAACAAGGTTATATTTAAATGGTAAATTAAAGCAACAAATGAGAATAGTTTTCTCATCAGTTAGATGTCAGCAGTAAGAAATGGAGGGTACCTGAAAAATGCATAAAATTTACCTTCACAGATGATGCTGGCATCTTCATTATGACCACAGTTGTGGACTCCAAGCCCTTTGTGTCTGCAGTCAGTTATTGATGGTTCATTTCCAAAACAGTATACATCGTCCAACCAGATGGGTCCGATGCCCTGTCCAAAAGCTGCATTTTGTAGTGCTGAACGAGCACTTCCACAGCCCAGCTGTCTGCACACCACTTTGGCATCATTCAGGTCCCAAGAATCATCACACACTGTGCCCCACTGTCCATCATTGAAGATCTCCACTCTGCCAGAGCAGCGGTTCTCACCATTGACCAGCCTCACTGATGAAGCAGCTAATAGAAAACCAAAAGAAGGAACACTGTCTATGGGAGTACTTCAGAGGAAATGTAGATTTATTAGAATAATATAACAATATAATAATATATATAATATATAATAATATAACATAATCATCTTTCTACCATTTATTTTACTTCAGCTGACAACACGTTATTTTAAACTTATTTTTAATTTGTTGGTAATTTGATAGTTCTTGGGGGCAGGTTCTGGATTCATGGAAATATCTTCATAGTAAGTTTATCTTTATTGAAAAATTTCTCATAATTCAAGACTAAAAGAAAAAATTGTTGTGTGGATAAAAACCTGTAGTAGTATGTAACTATAAATCATCTTAGTTCAGTGTTATCCCAAATGCACACACGAACAAAGTTGGATTTCACTCTCTTTAACCCCACATGTTCATATTTACCTTCACAGACGACACCAGCATCCTCAGAGTGGGCACAGTTATGAGATCCAAACCCTCTGTGTTGACACTCAGAGAGCTTTGATTCGTTGCCTGTGCATGTGACTTCATCCAACCAGATGGGTCCGTTGCCCTGTCCAAATCGCGCGTTTGTTGGTGCTGAGAAGACCCTGCCACAGCCCAGCTGTCTACACACCACCTGAGCATCCACCAGGCCCCAGGCATCGTCACACACCGTCCCCCACTGTCCACTGTGGAAGATCTCCACCCTGCCAGAGCAGGAGCTGTTTCCATTAACCAGGCGGACCTCCCCCTCAACTGCTGTGCTGTTGCCCACTGGTGTTGTGGTAGAGATGTTAGCGGTCACATGTGTGGTGGTGAAGTTCTGTGGCCTTGGTGTTGTTGGAAAAACAGTGCTGTTGATTCCTGGTTGGACTGAAAGAAAAGTGTCTTTGAACTAAAAGGACAAACTCAGTTTGCACTTCCATCTAAATTAATGAGGATAAGCTCTCATTAGTACATCTCAAAATTATTGTTTTCTCACAAACTCCTTGTTTACTTTGCATTTGACTCCATGTGCTGCACAACAAGGTTATATTTAAATGGTAAATTAAAGCAACAAATGAGAATAGTTTTCTCATCAGTTAGGTGTCAGCAGTAAGAAATGGAGGGTACCTGAAAAATGCATAAAATTTACCTTCACAGATGATGCTGGCATCTTCGTTATGACGACAGTCGTGGACTCCAAGCCCGTTGTGTCTGCAGTCAGTTATTGATGGTTCATTTCCAAAACAGTATACATCGTCCAACCAGATGGGTCCGCTGCCCTGTCCAAAAGCTGCACTTTGTAGCGCTGAACGAGCGCTTCCACAGCCCAGCTGTCTGCACACCACTTTGGCATCATTCAGGTCCCAAGAATCATCACACACTGTGCCCCACTGTCCATCATTGAAGATCTCCACTCTGCCAGAGCAGCGGTTCTCACCATTGACCAGCCTCACTGACGAAGCAGCTAATAGAAAACCAAAAGAAGGAACACTGTCTATGGGAGTACTTCAGAGGAAATGTAGATTTATTAGAATAATATAACAATATAATAATATATATAATATATAATAATATAACATAATCATCGTTCTACCATTTATTTTACTTCAGCTGACAACACGTTATTTTAAACTTATTTTTAATTTGTTGGTAATTTGATAGTTCTTGGGGGCAGGTTCTGGATTCATGGAAATATCTTCATAGTAAGTTTATCTTTATTGAAAAATTTCTCATAATTCAAGACTAAAAGAAAAAATTGTTGTGTGGATAAAAACCTGTAGTAGTATGTAACTATAAATCATCTTAGTTCAGTGTTATCCCAAATGCACACACGAACAAAGTTGGATTTCACTCTCTTTAACCCCACATGTTCATATTTACCTTCACAGACGACACCAGCATCCTCAGAGTGGGCACAGTTATGAGATCCAAACCCTCTGTGTTGACACTCAGAGAGCTTTGATTCATTGCCTGTGCATGTGACTTCATCCAACCAGATGGGTCCGTTGCCCTGTCCAAATCGCGCGTTTGTTGGTGCTGAGAAGACCCTGCCACAGCCCAGCTGTCTACACACCACCTGAGCATCCACCAGGCCCCAGGCATCGTCACACACCGTCCCCCACTGTCCACTGTGGAAGACCTCCACCCTGCCAGAGCAGGAGCTGTTTCCATTAACCAGGCGGACCTCCCCCTCGACTGCTGTGCTGTTGCCCACTGGTGTTGTGGTAGAGATGTTAGCGGTCACATGTGTGGTGGTGAAGTTCTGTGGCCTTGGTGTTGTGGTAGGTAAAACAGGTGTAATTGTGTTCACTTCTGTTTAAAATAATAATAATAATCATGCACTCAGAAACCATTGAACCAACTGAATCATCAACAGGTTAATTATATTTAAAGCATAGGTTTACCTGCACAGTATGCAAGGTTGCATGCATATGGCTTCACAAGTTTGTAGACATAGTAGTTTGCATGGCAAAGTTTAACATGGATGGTGTGTGACTGAAAATGGCAGCAACTGCCACTCCAAACATTGCACACAGTGCGATTCACAATTTCACCAGCCTGTGTGGGATGAGGTTGTGTTATCCACAAAGGTGCATGGGTCCCACACCTGTTTGATTCGACACACCTCTCTGGAATACGAGCACTGGTTTGATTCAAAAACAGGCGATACCAGCCTTGCCAGTTTATATATTGATCACAGTGTAGGACCTCAGTATTTGTGTTATTTGTTGAACGCCAGTCATCATTCAATGTTGCATAGTTCTGACAAGGGTCCACACATTGGGAATTGATGCAGTCCGTGCCTGAAGGACAAACTGTGTTCCCACAGTAGAACCGGACAGATTGGGAAGAGGCAGCTGGTCTGTTCTTGGAGGAAGGCTCCGGACATTCGTATGAGCCTGGCGTGTTGTGGCAAATCTGAGGTGGTGTGCATGGTGAGTTTGGGAGGGAACACTCATCAGTGTCCACACAGCCCTTCTCTGAGGACCAGTGGTAACCTCGGTCACAGCAAGAAGAGTCACTGCAGAGTTTTGGGTCATAGCAGGTGAGGCCATCACCTACAAAGCCATCTTTACAGATACATGAGAGGGCGTGGCCGGTGAAGGTGTCACCTCTTTCCTGTGACTCCAAGCAGGTGGCTTTGCCATGACATGAATCACAGCTGGTCACAGGAGTCCCTGCAGACAAAATAGTCACAGCATTTCATCTGTCACAGCACTTAAATACAAGTAAGACTTTTTGATTCATAATCATTTTGAAACATCTTTTGAAATCTCACCACAGTGTAAAATAGCTGAATTTAAAAAGAAGAAAGATTTGAGTAATTTGTTGTAATTTAGATAATTCATCAAAATAACTCTTTGGAGGCATTTCACGTCACTGTTGAATACTCTTACTGAATATGAGGTAAATATTTGTCTACTTTCAAACTGATATTTAAATAACATACCTTACCTAAAAAATTTCTAAAGGAGAAATGTGAAAATGTAAAATTAGCAAATTCATTATAGTTTGTCTGGAGCAATTATTTAATTAGTGTCTTAATTAGAGGCACAATAATTGACAAAGGAAAAAGTACCATTATAATAATTACATCAGTCCATTTAGAAAATGAATTTATGTCTAACTAGAGATGATTTACCTGAAGAAGTTCCTGTGAAAATATGCACAAGTATGAGTAAGAACAGTCCAGAAGGCATTCCCATTATTGATCACATCCACGACTCAAACTGCGTGAAAAAGACAAAGGAGATGTTTTAAAACTGCATTTTTACATTATGCCATCTTATTCTGTATTAAATCTATAACTTCTGATGTGTCTGTACTTACCCTGGAGAGACTCTGAGAATCCAGCGCTTAAGCTCACAGCAAGGATGGGAATTTATAGGCCTGTTTCTGTGTGCAAAGGACAAATTGAAGTGATTGATGGTGAAATATATAAGTGGGCAAGATAGAGAACTTATTCATATGACATCAAAGGAGTTACTCATTAATCTAAAGAACGAAAAAGAATCACGTCCACAATGAAAGGGCACATCCACAAAGCCCAAGTCAGTCATTTTTATGGTACAACAAATTGATGTTTGCACAATCCAGTATTTTCTCGCACTTTGCTCATTTATAACCATCTCAGAAGATAAAGAGTACACTAAGTTTTGTGCAATGAAGCTATCTGCCCGACATTCAGAAATGTTGTTTGATCCAATATTCTTATCTCAAGATCCTGTTGGCATCTAGACTTTCAACTATTCAATATTTCCAGTGACATCAGGTGAACCCTGCTAATAATCATGCATGAATCAAAATGCCCCAGCACATGTAAGTACTTTTACAGTTAGACCCAAAAGGTTTTGGATAAAGACTTGCTGTTGTTGTAAGTTTGACCAAACATTGATGTTGTGAAAGGCTTTCATCTTTAATATGAGGGGCTTTACAACATTTTGCTTTATTGGTTTAGAACTTACAGCTGCTTGTGCATGTGTTTCTTTGCCTTCAGGTTTGTATTGAAAAGTTGCTCTGTTGGATTGAAATCGGCAGCTCAACAGTCTGACTGACGTGGCCATTGATTATTCCTTTCCTTTGTTCTGAGAAATTTGGGGGTTGCTTTTGCAGTTTCTTATCATTATCTGAACAGAGCCATGCATATAATCCATCTATTATTCTTAAAGACATCTCTTCACTGTAAACTGACAGTCACACACCTACCTCCTCAAACGTGTTCTTGACATGGTTAGATGTTATGAAGTTATTTTTCTTAACCAAGGAAAGAATTCTGTGATCATCCTTTTTCATCTTCTGAGCTCCTTCAGGCGTTTTAATGTTGCTAAGCTGACCAGAATGTACCAGATTGTTGATATATATATATATATATATATATATATATATATATATATATATATATATATATATATATATATATATATATATATATATACATATATATATATATATATATATATATATATATATATATATATATATATATATATATATATATATATACAGTGGGGCAAAAAAGTATTTAGTCAGCCACCGATTGTGCAAGTTCCCCCACCTAAAATGATGACAGAGGTCAGTAATTTGCACCAGAGGTACACTTCAACTGTGAGAGACAGAATGTGAAAAAAAAATCCATGAATTCACATGGTAGGATTTGTAAAGAATTTATTCGTAAATCAGGGTGGAAAATAAGTATTTGGTCACCTCAAACAAGGAAAATCTCTGGCTCTCACAGACCTGTAACGTCTTCTGTAAGAAGCTTTTCTGTCCCCCACTCGTTACCTGTATGAATGGCGCCTGTTTGAACTCATCATCTGTATAAAAGACACCTGTCCACAGCCTCAAACAGTCAGACTCCAAACTCCGCCATGGCCAAGACCAAAGAGCTTTCGAAGGACACCAGGAAAAGTATTGTAGACCTGCACCAGACTGGGAAGAGTGAATCTACAATAGGCAAGCAGCTTGGTGTGAAAAAATCAACTGTGGGAGCAATCATCAGAAAATGGAAGACATACAAGATCACTGATAATCTCCCTCGATCTGGGGCTCCACGCAAGATCTCATCCCGTGGGGTCAAAATGATCATGAGAACGGTGAGCAAAGATCCCAGAACCACACGGGGGGACCTGGTGAATGACCTGCAGAGAGCTGGGACCAAAGTAACAAAGGTCACCATCAGTAACACACTACAACGGCAGGGAATCAAATCCCGCAGTGCCAGACGTGTTCCGCTGCTGAAGCCAGTGCATGTCCAGGCCCGTCTGAAGTTTGCCAGAGAGCACATGGATGATACAGCAGAGGATTGGGAGAATGTCATGTGGTCAGATGAAACCAAAGTAGAACTTTTTGGTATAAACTCAACTTGTCGTGTTTGGAGGAAGAAGAATACTGAGTTGCATCCCAAGAACACCATACCTACTGTGAAGCATGGGGGTGGAAACATCATGCTATGGGGCTGTTTTTCTGCCAAGGGGACAGGACGACTGATCCGTGTTAAGGACAGAATGAATGGGGCCATGTATCGTGAGATTTTGAGCCAAAACCTCCTTCCATCAGTGAGAACTTTGAAGATGAAATGAGGCTGCGTCTTCCATCATGACAATGATCCAAAACACACCGCCCGGGCAACAAAGGAGTGGCTCCGTAAGAAGCATTTGAAAGTCCTGGAGTGGCCTAGCCAGTCTCCAGACCTCAACCCCATAGAAAATCTGTGGCGGGAGTTGAAAGTCCGTGTTGCTCGGCGACAGCCCCAAAACATCACTGCTCTCGAGAAGATCTGCATGGAGGAATGGGCCAAAATACCAGCTACTGTGTGTGCAAACCTGGTAAAGACCTATAGAAAACGTTTGACCTCTGTTATTGCCAACAAAGGTTATGTTACAAAGTATTGAGTTGTATTTTTGTTATTGACCAAATACTTATTTTCCACCCTGATTTACCAATAAATTCTTTACAAATCCTACCATGTGGATTCATGGATTTTTTTTTCACATTCTGTCTCTCACAGTTGAAGTGTACCTCTGGTGCAAATTACTGACCTCTGTCATCATTTTAAGTGGGGGAACTTGCACAATCGGTGGCTGACTAAATACTTTTTTGCCCCACTGTGTATGTATATATATATATATATATATACATATAATGAATAATAGTAATGGGTTGCAGCCACAGCTGCCCTGGGGCAGACTGACAGAAGCGAGGCTGCCATATCGCACCATCGGCCCCTCTGGCCAACACCAGTAGGCAGTAGGTGAAATGTCTTGCCCAAGGACGCAACAACCAGGACAGAGAGCCCGGGGATTGAACCGGCGACCTTCCAGTTACAGATACGCTTCCCAACCCCCTGAGCCAAAAAATTCCCCACTCGCCCCTGCGGGCGGTCAATCCTTCAAGCTTGGGCCTTTACCAGAGGCCTGGGAGTTTGAGGGTCCTGCGCAGTATCTTAGCTGTTCCCAGGACTGCGCTCTTCAGGACAGAGATCTTGGATGTTGTTCCTGGGATCTGCTGGAGCCACTCGCCTAGTTTGGGAGTCACCGCACCTAGTGCTCCGATTACCACAGGGACCACCGTTACCTTCACCCTCCACATCCTCTCGAGCTCTTCTCTGAGCCCTTGGTATTTCTCGAGCTTCTCGTGTTCCTTCTTCCTGATGTTGCTGTCATTCGGAACTGCTACATCGATCACTACGGCCGTCTTCTTCTGTTTGTCTACCACCACTGTGTCCGGTTGGTTAGCCGCCACCATTTTGTCCGTCTGTATCTGGAAGTCCCACAGGATCTTAGCTCGGTCATTCTCCATCACCCTTGGGGGCATCTACCATTTTGACCTTGGGACTTCCAGGTTATACTTGGCACAGATACTATGCCGGCCACTTGGTTATGGCGTTCCATGTATGCCTTACCTGCTAGCATCTTGCACCCTACTGTCATGTGCTGGATTGTCTCTGGGGCATCTTTACACAGCCTGCACCTGGGGTCTTGCCTGGTGTGATAGACCCCAGCCTCAATGGATCTTGTGCTTAGTGCTTGTTCCTGTGCTGCCATGATTAGTGCTTCCGTGCTGTCTTTCAGTCCAGCTTTGTCCAGCCACTGGTAGGATTTCTGGATATCAGCCACCCCCTCTATCTGTCGGTGGTACATACCGTGCAGGGGCCTGTCCTTCCATGATGGTTCCTCGCCTTCCTCCTGTCATGGTCCTGGGCCATGTGGGCCCAGTATTCTTAGTTTTCATGTATTTTTGTATTTTGTTCTTTATTTAGGCCATGCTTCCTGGGTTGATCTGTTACGTTGTTCCTTATGTGTTTTCCCTTCGTGACTCTTACCCCCTGTGTGCCCCTCTGTGTATTTATGAGCCCTCGTCTCTCTTTGTGCTTTATTCTATGTTTTCCCCAGCCCGTTATGTCTGCGTTCTCCCCGTGCTCTCTCTCCTCCTGTT